GATCTTTATCCGAAGTGCTAATTGATGCTGTTAACTTTCTGCAGTGATGCCAGGAAATAGTAATAAGGAAGTGACACTCTGCTTATCTTGTGCTAGGCAGTTTTATTTAGAGAACTGTGTTTCTTTAGCTAAAGGGCACCAAAATAACATTGCACTTTCCAAGTAACAGTGTACTTGGAAAGATGAGTTTTTAAGAGGGCTCCTGATGTCTTCTAAAATCACTATATACCTAAAAAATGAGACTTTCTTAGCTACTCACCAGAAGGATTGGACCTACTATATTATGCTAGTATATTTCCCAGGAATTAAGTAGATATTTCTTACCCATAAAAACTTCTGTGACATTAAGATATAATCCTTCACTACATCATTACAAGAAATGTGCATTCTTTGTGTGTTACTTTTCACTTCTAATAAAATTATAATGTTAAATTTTTGTGGGTATGTGTATGTATAGTGTGTGGGTATATAATTAGAGAGAGGTATACATGTAAGTATTTGAGATCTACTAAGTGGCTTTTATATATACCTGTATTACTCTTGATAAGTTACTTCTCTATGCTAAGTTTCTGGTTTATAAAATGCTGGCTAATAATGATACCCAGGGATGGATTATCCAATAAGCAAGGTAAGCACAGGCGTACTTGTGTTTACTTACTAATCTGTAGTGAACAATTTCACATTTTTTCACCACTTCAAAGATTCTGCTTCTAGGTGTGGCTGGCATCTGTCTCTCTTCTAACACCATAGCACCTTCCTACAGAATCAAAGCCTCTTTTCAGATTTACAATCCCTGACAGGAGCAGATGACTCAGTAAACAAAATAAGCATGGGATTACTTGGGCTTACTTACTTATCTGTAGTGAACCATTTCACCACATCACATCAAAGTGAAACCCAAGTGAAATGGTTCACTACAGATTAGTAAGTAAGCACAAGTAAGCCTGTGCTTACCTTGCTTACTGGATAATTCACCCCTGCTGGTACTTACCTCATAGGGAACTCATTCCCTGAGTGGCACATATGGTTTGCACTCAGATATTAACCTGAATGTTGGTAGGTCAAACTCACCCAGTGGCACTTTGGAAGAAAGGCCTGGCAATCTGCTTCCATAAAAATTGCAGTCAAGAAAAGCCTATGGAGCAGTTCTACTCTGTAACACATAGGGTCGCCATGAGTTGGAATCGACTCAATGGCAATGGATTTTTTTGTTTACCTCATAGGGTATTATGAAGATTAAATACTAATACATATAAAGCACTTGGGGCCACACTTGGCATAGTGCTCAATAATATTAGTTATTATTATCATTACTTCTCACATTATCAATTTTTAAATGTTTATTTGTACATTTTCTTAATTTATGCAACTGGATTAGCTGGGTTTAACCATAGTGAAAACCAAAACACCAAACCCACTGCCACTGAGTCGATTACAACTGACAGCAACCCTATAGGACAGAGTAGAACTGCCCCATAGAGTTTCCAAGGAGCGGCTGGTGAATTCAAACTGCCAACCTTTTGGTTAGCGGCCCTGTGCCACCAGGGCTCCTAACCATACTTATTTGGTAATAAAGAAAGGACTTAAAAATAATGTTACATTTTTCTGCCTTCTTGGGATTGTTTTTATTTTTCAGCTTGACAGAGAACATCATGAAAAGTCCTTGAGCAAACCAGATAAGAGCCATAATAAGTCAATGGTGATCTAAAAAGATTATTTATTAAAAAAATAATCAGGAAATAAGGGGCTGCGTACAGTCAGTACAAGGCTACAGGTCCTGGGTAATCTGGAGTATATACTAGGGAAATCACTGATAGATCTTCAATTCTAATACAGAACTAAAACCTGTCCCTAGACTACACTACTACCAAGGCAATGTATTGTTTTCCTAACTGCCTCCCAACCCACAAGAAATAGCACAGGAGAGTCAAGTAATACTGAAAGACAGAATGTGTTAATTTATCATCAGTCCAGCTTGGATGGGAGAGCAAATGCATGGGTATAATGCTTCCTACATGAACCTTGAGATTTGTGATTGCATTAGATATAATATTTGGCATGAGCAACTTCATCAGCATCATTCATGAGCTCAGGGTGAAGTGATTTTGCCCTTCACCAAAATATGGGAGTGATACTGGCATTGAAGTGGTGCTCAACATCACCAGTTTTGCTGGACCAAGCATAGATGGATGTCAGCCAAGTGCAAAGCAACATGGGCCTGGAGAGCTGGAGCAGAATAGCCAGGGAAATCGGAATAAATGTTCCAACAACACGCTAAAGTTAGCCTTAAGTGGCTTAGTCTAATCATGGCATGTTGAGAGAGTACTTGGTATCTAGTAGTTAGAACTGAAATGGTTCGTTTGAGCAAAGGGCAGAGGGACTAACTGATATGATAATGACCAAGGCTTCAAGAAATTGATGATTTTATTCTAATTAGGAGGGTTTTTTTAATATTCATATTTTCCATTCATGATTTTACCTCAAGGTTATATATTCTTCCTGCTGCCTCCTAGATTGTCTCTTCTCTTTCCTCTTTCAATCAACAAATAATAAATAGCTGTTGTAGAAATCGACCCCATTTGAAATTTACCTCATCATGCCCCTGCTTGAAAATCTCATCTCAATGATGTCCTACTCCACGGAGTAGTGCGTCCAGGTTCCTTGGCTTCCTATTGAAGATAGTCTACCACGAGGCCCACATGAGCCCCTTTCCAGCCATACCCCTCACTGCTCTGGCACTCAACTCCAGTCCTTTCTTTAGGCCTACTTCTTCCCACCAGAAATGTGTTTTTCTCTACCAATTCATATTCATCCTTTTCTTCAAACCTCAAGTCAGACGTTACCAATTTTAGGAAGTCTCCAGTAATAACACTCTTCTTTGGTCATTTTGTTGTTGTTCTCTATCTCCCACAGCTTGAATGTTTCACTGTGCTAGTTAACCCTTGCAGATGTATGGCTCTGCATTACACATGTCACCGCATGTGTGGGTGAAGGCTCATTGAGCCCGGCTTAGTTTCCTAGTGCAGAAATACTAGACGTGGGTGGCTTTAAAGAAAAAAAAAATTTTTTCTCGCAATTCTGGATGCTAAAAATCCAAATTAGGGTCTTAGCTGTGTTGATACCTTCCTTGGCTTTGTAGATAATCTTCACATAGCATCTGTCTTCTCCTGTGTGTGTGTGTGTGTGTGTGTGTCTGTCTGTCTGTCTGTCTGTCTGTCTGTCTGTCTGTGTCTGTGTCTAATCTGCTCTCAGAAGTGATTAGATTTAGAACCTACCCTACTCAGGTATGCTGTAATTTACATAACAAAGAAAACTCTATTTCAAAACAGGATTACATCCATAGGTATTGGGGTTAGAATTCTAAGACATATTTTGGGAGACATAATTCAATTCATACCTGCCCCTAGGGACAAAGAGCCCATTTTTCCACTGTCACTTCTACCTACACACACGCACATACTACCTGTATTCTGCTTGCTGAGGAAAAGTATAATCATCTTCAAACACGTACACGTATATAAAGAAAACTGACATAAAAAGAATTATTACAGCGAAACCTGTCAGAGCCAGAACTCAACAGGACTGACTTGTTTTTCTGGTTCTCACAAATTTTCTACCTTTGACAGGGTTCAGTCTTACCACTTTTCTGTTGCTCTCTATTAGTTGAAAAATATTTAAGTTTGCCTTCTCTGACAGGTTTCCGCCTTATACAGGTTCCAGCTTTTGCAGGTTTTCCTGTATTACTTTAGAAATCCTCTAACAAAAACTCATTTTATATGATAGATTTATTGCTCATTTCACCTTTATAGCTGAGCTAATATACCATATTAGCTTGTTTCCCAAATATGTGTTTATATTTAGGGGGCATATTTAAAATAAAAGTGAAGTGAATATACATAGATTATTATGTTAATGTGTATGTACATTATTAGGCAGAGAGGAACTTTCCAGATGTCAATAAATTGTCAAAATGTTTTCTTGATTTCCTGTAATTTATTTTTGTCTTTTGGACATTTTTAATAGTCACTTTTCTTTTTCTTCTTTTTGATATAGTATTGAAGTCACAGTTCTACCTGCGATTATGCTTTGTATAAATGAATTGAACATTAACAGCTTTGACTGCAGAATCACATCTAAGATCCAAAACAAGGATTGTCCCTACCTCCTTTGTAGCTTATAATATCTGTTCTTGGAACTGGAATTGCCAAAATGGCACATGAGGAACATGTAGATAGCTCAAGACTGTTGTGCTATTTCCACTCTCTAGCATCTTTTAAAGGAGCCCTCTTGGCACAGTGGTTAAGTGGTTGGCTGCTAACCAAAAGGTGGGTGGTTCAAACCTACCCAGCCACTCTGCAGGAGAGAAAACCTGGTGATCTACTTCTGTAAAGAATATAGCCTAGGGAACTCTATGAGGCAGTTTACTCTATCATATAGGGTCATTCTAAATCGGAATTGCCTCAATGGCACACAATGACAATACCACCGTCTACTGACATGCTACCTTATCAGATCATTTGGTCTCAGAGCAGAGTCCAGAAGAAAGTAGACACAGGACAGACAGGTTTTTAACTGAAGGGGTGAAAAGATGGGATGGTTGTAGAAGGTTATGCTCTGGTTGGACACTCAAGAAGCTTGCTCCTAGCCCGTCTGAGGCCCCTGAAGGCCAGATGTTTGAAAAGTAACTCCAACAGGGCAGTAGTCGCAGGGCACTGATGACCAAATCCACCTTTGTGACAATTTTGCGCTAGCCCTGTTGTCCACTTGTATAATGTCTGGTTTTTAAAGACAAGAATGCTCCATGTTATATAGAAGGTTTCAATGTGCTAAAACCTCTTAGATGCTGGTCTACCACTTGATTAAATGCCAAAAGCATAGTTGAGTGCTGAGTTGTAAATGTTTGTGGTGCCTATGACTGAATGTATTTTTTTCCTGCATGATCATCCATTGTGGTGTTTGTAAGTAGCAAGAAAATGAGCCTGATTTATTCTCCTTTGTAGAGCCAGGCCGAGGCCCACTACAAAGGAAGTAAACATGCCAAGAAGGTCAAAGCACTAGAGGCAACGAAAAATAAACCCAAAATGGTTTCTTCCAAGGACAGCGCAAAGGCTAATCCCAGCTGCTCCATCACTCCAATCACAGGCAACAGCTCTGACAAATCAGGTCAATGACACTTTTTGTTCTTTACATTTTTGTGTTCCTCCTGTCCCCTTGCCCTCCCCCCTCCCCCCTAGTTGCTGCATGCTACTCTCCATGATTTGTTTTTATAATATTAATATGTTTCCTTCACAGGAAGTGCTTTATGTTTGCACGGAATCTAAGCATTTGATACGTTACCATTCTGCATTGTTAAATATATACATTTAAGTGTATATATGTGTGTATGTGTATAAATATATATTTATATATATAAGTATATGTGCATGTAGAAGTAGAAGCTACTTGGTTACAGTGTGTATAGATAAAAATCAGGAAACGAATCTAAAATACTGAGTGAATTATTATTCCTTTCTATTCTTCTTATGTTTAGTTTTTGCTAGAGGCTTTTTCAGTAGAGGAATCTTAAACGTGTTTTCTAATAGACATTTTTATATTCTCATACCCTGATAAGAGGAGTGGAGGGACATAAGAGCAGAATTTTAAATGAATGTGGGGATGCGTCCAATAATAAAAAAAAATTTGATTTTTGAAGACTTTTATAGAGTTCCTCTCAGAATTACAAAGGAAACGCAAAGATTTTGAGGGAATTATTTACAAAGTTATGAATTGGCTAACAAAAGTACTTTATATAATTGGAAACGAGCTACTAGTGGAAGTATCTCTTAAGAGGAGTGTTTATTTCATAGTTCCACTGAGTCAGCAGTACTTCTGAGTAGATTCAAACTGAATGTTTCAGTGGAAAGGGAAAATTTTCATTTTCCTAGCATGGATACCATGAAATTGGATGTTTAATAGGCTTTACACTCTCATATCTGCCCCTCAGGGCCCATGATGGATATGTCATCTTGTTTTGATGACTAATTGAAGAACAGTGTCTGTGAAAGATTAAGAGGATATGTTCCTTTTCCTTATGTTGGGCTCTCTCGAGGGACATCTCTGTTGTTGGAAAAACAACACACAAACAGACTTCTGATTCTCTTCTGCTCTCTGTATCATTGTAAATTTGAGGAGGTGGCTTAAGAATGCTTTCCTATGGCAGCCAAGAGCCTTTGGAGAAAAGTAAATCCATTACTATCAGAGGAGGGTTCAGAAAAGCCTATTCATACAAAGAGACTATGCAGAAAGGGACCATTATTGATTAGGTCCCATAAATGCTGGTTCCAAAAACTGTAGCTTAGGAGAGAGCTAACCAAAATTTGATAATGAAGACTTTTTGTTCTTTGTATGATAGAATCACTAAGACATGTTATCTGATGAACAGATAATAACAAGTACTGGATTATTGCATAGTACTTCTCCCCTTCTAAATAACAAAATGTTTTAATCTATATTATCTAATTAATCTTTAAGCCATTTCTGTCAGATGTTAGGGTCAAATATTATCTTCATTTTACAAAAAAACAAACAGAGGCATGTGTATAGCTTGTGGCAGTTATTTGCTGAAGGTTACTTAGTGTTTGAAAGAGTAGGATCAATTCATCTCCTGACTTCCTGTCAGATTTCATTTTCTACAGGATATTGCTGCTTCTATGAAACAGTACTCTGTCAAAGATTTTTATTACCTGAATTATGATCCAACAGTACTTATAAGTAAAATAATATTCTTTCAGGTTATTTTGTGACTTGAGCACAGTCGGTGAGCACTGTAAATGTTCCGACATTGCTACGGCATGTGTTCAATACTCCACTTAAAATATATAAATACTTGGGAACTGAGTTTGATAGAAGGAAAGTAGTAAAATAGTGAGTAGAAAAGAGAGTTGAAAAACGGAAACAGAGAAGGATCAGTAAGAGAGGAATCAATAAAAGAACAGAAGATAAAGGAAGAAGGAACAGTGTGGGAGACGAAAGGAAGTAGAAGGAAAAAGTCAAAGATTAGAGGCAGAAGTAAGGAAAGAATGAAGTACTGAAATAGAAAATCTCAGTAAGGGGTCTGGGTGACAATCACAGCATGCCTGTACCTACAAGGTGCTCAGTGAGTATCTGTTGAAATAAACTTTAATGATGCAAAGCTTTTATTCTAACACTCGAATACTAGCCAATGCTCAGTGAAGTAGAGAAACTTCCTAAACAGTTGTCTCTGCCTGGTGAGCAATAGGAACATACCAGGATCAACTACAGTGGCGGTATAAACAAGAAGAAAACTAAAATCTAGACGAACCCTAGGAAGCAAGTGTTGGGAGAAGGGAAAGAAATCTCCACAACCGTGTCTCTTCTTCAGTGGATTTGAAAACCAAAACCCAAACTAGTTGCTGTCAGGTCAATTCCATCTCATGGTGACCCCATGTGTGTCAGAGTAGAACTGCACTCTATATGGTTTTCAACGGCTGTGATCTTTGGGAAGTAGATCATCAGCCTTCCTTCCAAGTTGCCTATGGGTGAATTCAAATTGCCAATCTATAGGTTAGTAGCTGAGTGCTTAACCATTTGTACTACCCAGAGAGTCCCAGTAGAAAGGAGGTGATCTTTAATCCTTCATTCTCTGTTTCCTCTGACACTTCCGTACCCACTCCCCAAAGTAGCTATGGTCTAACAGTATTGACCTCACTCAGCATGTTCCCGTCCATATTTGGACTAGAAGTAATGGAAATCACCTGTATTTTGGAGTTACCTAATTTTCCATGTTTCCTTACTCAAAATATGCATAAATTGGTAACTTGTTTGCTTGGACCATTAAAGTTACTTATTTGTATCTCCCATGTTTTATATAAATATTAATACTAATGAAACATTTTTATTTGCTTTATTATATCCACAAAAGCAATGCCAAAGTTACTGAAAGATTTAAAAATAAAGTAGGTTTTATTTGCTAAATAGGTGTATGTTCTTTTGTCACCTTCCACTGAATGCTAGCTTCTAAGCAAGATTTCCCAGACATTTTATAGAATTTTCAAGTTGGAAAATTAGAAGCTTTGCTCAGATGGGAAATCTGGACTAAACAATGTAATAAATAACCTGGTGTTAACCACCTATTTCTAAATCCTTAAAAAGCTCCCACAGCTTTGTCAGAATCAGAGATTCTTGTTGGTAACTTGATTTCATTTCATGTAAAACCCTGTTTTAGAAGAAGAGCAGACATGAAAACAAGTCCTTCGTAAATTACCCAGGTGGGCTATATAGAGGAAGAGAGTGGGAAGCGGAATGGTTACTGTGAAACTTAATTGACTGAAATGTTTTATTTCAGACAACATTGCCTGCAAGGAATCAGCCAAAAATTAGAGTAACAATCACAGTGAAAATTCATGGATGATTGGCAATTCTTATGAGACTGAAATTCCTGAGCATTGGTCTTTTTCTTCTAAATGAAGAGTACCTGTCACGTGGGCTTAAGCAGTATATCTATGTGATTCTTAGGTACTTGAATGAAAAGTTAAAATGTCCATTTGTCAATGTCCCAGCTGCCAGATTTCAAATATCCAGGTGTTCCTAATATCCATAGGATTGATTAATTTAAGTTCTATTCTCATGTTTTAGGAGCAATAGCTTAGCAACAGATAGTTGTTCAACGAGGGCAAATTTTGAGGAGGCGAAAATAACTAAATGTTAAGGAAGGGAGTTTCTTGGAGAACAGCATCCTGGGGTTCACTGAACATCAGTCAAGGTGAAGTATGATTTCAGAGTATCTGACAAGGAACATGGAACCCACAGATGGCCTCCTTCTGCTCCTTGAGAGTATAAACTATTTATTCTAAGAACTGACCTAGCAATGTCCTAAGAGCTAGCGAAGCCTTCTTTACTTACAAAGTTGGCACTGGGACAACCATTTCTCTCTTTTATGTTACATTTGGAGATAAAAGTCAGTCCCCAGGTTACAAACGAGATCCGTTCCTAACTGTGTCTTTAAGTCAAATTTGTAAGTTTAAGTTGGAATATGTGCATACGGTTCTTATTTAGCCTTACTTTAGTGTAAGAAAGGAGCCCTGGTGGCGCAGTGGTTAAGAGCTTGGCTGCTAACCAAAAGGTCAGCAGTTCGAATCCACCAGCTGCTCCTTGTAAACCCCATGGGGCAGTTTTACTCTATCTTATAATGTCGTTATGAGTTGGAATCGACTCGACAGGAAGAGGTTTGGTTTGGTTTCACATTAGTGCAAGAAAAAGCTTGAAGCCTTTTCAGTGATTTAAAAGCTGCATGTACAGCAAGTAAAGGCGATTGTGATGAAGAATTTGTTGTGACTAGGGGTTGGTTCAATCCTTTCAAAGTGAGGGCAAATTTACATAATATTAATGGACAAGTACGAGTTGTCCATAAGTTGGATATTTGTAACCCTGCCTGTACAATTTGACTTATGCTGTATCCAGATCTGTGTAATACAGAGAGATTTATTATAATAGATTCTATCATATAGAAAAACTTCAGGGTATCATGTCAAGTTTTTGTTTGTTTTTCCTCTCAATTTAGTAAACAAAATGAGTTTAAACTACAATAGCAGGAATTTCATTTATTATAAGAAGCTCTGACTCCATGAGTGAAAAATATATAAATATGTTTCATTAAAGACATTTAGGTAAGATTAGTGGTCCTGTTCACTTTTTAGAAGTTGGGGTGGAATTAAATGTAAAATCCAAAGGAGTGCCTTTGTGGTCTCCTAGGATCTATCCCGGCTCTTTAATGATGCATCGGGGGAGTTCGAAACACGGTGGGAGGGAGGAGAAATGTGCTTTGGGAGAATTGGGGTCAAAACACAGCAAGCATTAGGCAGCTTCAGGAAGATGGCTAGAACATATTGACCAGACACTGTACCGAATTTCTCCCTGGGGTTCAAGTGTCATAATGCCATATGACAGCACGCTTCCCTGTGATAATGTGCCCCATACATCAAATTGAAAGCTCTTATGACAGCATTTAACAACTTGTAACAGGTTCAAAAAATACAGAGCCTTCAAAAAACCTCATTTTCTTGAAAAGAGTAAAATATTTTGATAGTCAACCTAATGGTCCATATGTCTAGGCTTTAGCACTGGATTTTTTTTTTTTTTTTTAAATTAACTAGGTATCAAGATGG